CCACAACTCAAAAGCATGAACTCTTCTTAGGTCTTCCTTATTCATTGTCAGGCTTTCACATGTTATATGAGGTGATTGAAAGTACCATGGCTTGGGTTAGGTGTACCTTAATCTTCAAAAAAATGACTTTGCTCTTCAGCACTTTAAAGAGGTCTTATGCAGCAGATATATAACATATGGAGATGTATAATATATTAAATATCATACATTATATGTATTATATGTGATAATAGATAAATAGATACATAGATGTACCACTGGTAACATTTCAGGTATTTTCATTCAAATCATCTAGTGTGGTGGGAGGCAGGAATGAGTATATAGAAGAAACAAAATTGACCTAATGCAGAAACTTAATGAAGCTGGGCGATGAGAAACATAAGGATGTATTTTGCTATTTTCTCCCATTTTTGAAAATTTTCAATGTAAAAAAAGGCATAATGAAGAAAATAAGGAATTAATATCATTTAAAATAGCTACTAAAATCATAAAATGCTTAGGAATAAACCTAACCAGAAATACAAAAGACTTATACAAAGAAAACTACAAAACACTACTATAAGAAATTGAAAGACATTTACATAAATGAAAGAACATACCTGTTTTGGTGACCTAGTGCTGTTCTGACAGGAATATACCACACATTGGATGGCTTGAACAAACAGGAGTTTATTCTCTTACAATTTTGGAGGTTTTAAGTCTGAGTTCAAAGTGCCAGGCTCTAGAGGCTGGGTGAAAGCCTCTCAACTTTGGGCTTCAGCTCTACTTCCTGCTCCCGGCCCACTGAACCTGGAGGCTTTTCTTCACTGAGACAGCTGCTGGCTGCTGAGGCTGACAAACCCAAGGTTAATAGGTAAAAAAATGCACAGTCCCAATGTTACCAAACAACATGGTAGACCACTAATTCAAGTCCAGATGAAGTCTATTGTTAAATAGCTAACAACAGAGATATATGACAGATTGGCAGGGCATGGCAGGCCATTAAACAATGACATGGCTACATGCAGGATTCAAGCATGCCAAAAGGCTAGAGACCATTCCCAAAGCTGTTTCTTATATGCAGGAAGCAGAACAAATCCCTAAAGCAGCTACTCAGCTACTCCAATAGATTCTACCATGGAGTTAATTACCAATCTAATCATGGGGAATAACTACATCCAGCTGACTAACCATTCAACCAGGCCCAGCCAAGTTGACACACAAACTTAACTACCACAATGCCATATTCACATATAGGAAGACTGAACATTCTGAAAATTTCAATACTACTTAAAGTGATCTGTAGATATAATACAATCCTGATCCAGAATCTATGAACATTCTTTAAGAAGAGGGGAAAAAAAAAAATCACTAACTTTATATGGAAAAGAAAGAGACCTTGGATTAGCAAAGCACTATTGAAGAAGAAGAGCAAGGTAGGAGGCTTCACACTTCCTGATTTCAAAACCTCCTTTACAGCCATGGTAGTCAAACCAACCTCATATCGGTACAATGACATGCACATAAACAAATGGAACAGAATTAAGAACTCAGAAATAAATCCATCCACCCATGGATAGCTGATCTTTGACAAGGAGTTAAAACCCATTAAATGGGGAAAAAGACAGTCTCTTTAACAAAAGATTTTGGAAAAACTAGATATCCATTTGCAGAAAAATGAAACAAGATCTATATCTCACATTATATATAAAAACTAACTCCAGATGGATCAAAGACTTAAATGTGAAACCTAAAACTCTAAAGTTCATAAAGAAAAAATTAGGAGCAAACTTAGCAAATAGGTGCCCTAATTTATAGCATAAACAGGCTATCTAACATAACCTGAAATGCTTAAAGAGTGGAAGATAAACTAGACAAATGGGACATTTTAAAAATTAAATAGTCATACACATGAAAAGACTTCTCCAAAAGAATTACATAGAGATCCTACTGATTGGGAAAAAATGCATCTGGACCAAGTGGGATTCATACAGGTTTGCAAGGGTGGTTGAACATCAGAAAAATAATCAATGTAATCCACCTCATAAATAAAACAAAGGAAAAGGACCATGTGATTGTATCAATTGATGCAGAAAAGGCATTCGATAAAATCCAACATTCATTCCTGTTTAAAACTCTCAGAAAAATAGGGATAGAAGGGAAATTCCTCAACATAATAAAGAGTATATATGCAAAGCCAATGGCCAACATCATTATTAGTGGAGAAAGACTCAAGGCATTCCCCTTACAAATGGAAAACAGACAGGGATGCCCTCTATCATCACTTTTATTTAACATTGTATTGGAAGTCCTGGCCAGAGCAATAAGGCAAGAAAGACATAAAAGGCACACATCTTGGCAAATAGGAATTAAAACTATCTTTATTTGCAGATGATATGATCCTATACATAGAATACCCAAGGGGCTCAATAAAAAGACTAATGGAACTAATAGAGAGGTTCAGCAAAGTGGCAGGATATAAGATCAACATACAAAAATCAATTGGATTTCTCTACACCAGCAAGGAATTCTCTGATAAAGAAATAAGGGAAAACATACCATTCACTATAGCTACCAAAAAAGATAAACTATCTCGGAATAAACCTCACCAGAGACACAAAAGATCTGTACAAAGAAAACTATAAAACACTGCTACAAGAGACAACAAGGGTACTACATAAATGGAAGAACCTGCCTTGTTCATGGATAGGTAGACTAAACATTGTGAAAATGTCAATACTACCTGAAGCAATCTATACATTTAATGCAATCCTGATCCAGATTCCAACAAAATTTTTTAAGGACATTGAAAAACTAATTACTAATTTCGTATGGAAAGGAAAGAGACCTAGAATAAGCAGAGCACTTCTCAAGAAGAAAAACAAAGTGGGAGGTCTCACATTCCCAGATCTATATAGTAGTCAAAACAGCATGGTATTGGTACAATGATAGACAGATAGACCAATGGAACAGAATCAAAAACTCAGATGTAGACCCATCTATCTATGGACAACTGATCTTTGACAAAGTCCCAAAGCCCATTAAATGGGGAAGAGATAGCCTCTTTAATAAATGATGCTGGCAAAACTGGATATGCACCTGTAGAAAAATGAAACAAGACCCATACCTCACCCTATACACAAAACAAACTCAAGCTGGATCAAAGACTTAAATGTTAAACCCCAAACTAAAAAATTCGTCAAAGATAAAATAGGGGCAGATCTAGAAGCCCTAATTTATGCCATAAATAGACTGTCAAACATAACCCAGAATGTGCAGGAGATAGAAGAGAAGCTAGATGACTGGGAACTTTTAAAAATTAAATTCTTGTGTGCATTGAAAGATTTCATCAAAAAGGTAAAAAGAGAACCTAGAGATTGGGAGAAAATATTTGCCTATAACATATCTGACAAAGGACTTATCCTAAAATCTACAGAAAACTTCAACACCTCAACACCAAAAACACAAATAACTCAATTCACAAATGGGCAAAAGACTTGAACAGACACTTTACCAAAGAAGATATACAAGCAGCCAACAAACACATGAAAAATTGCTCACGATCATTATCATTCAAGAGATGCAAATCAAAACAGCAAGGAGGTATCATTTCACCCCAGCAATAATAGCAAAGTTCAACAGATCAGATAGTAACAAATGCTGGAGGGGTTTTGGAGAGATTGGAACTCTTGTGCACTGCTGGTGGGATTGTAAAATGGTACAACCATTGCGACAAACGGTATGGCATTTCCTTAAAAAACTGAAAATAGAAGTACCATTTGACCCAGCAATTCCATTTCTAGGAATATATCCTAAAGAGGTTAGAGATCACACATGAACAGACATATGTACACCTATGTTCATTGCAGCACAATTCACTATAGCAAAGAGATGGAAACAACCTAAATGCCCATCAATGGATGAGTGGATAACTGAATTATGGTGTATCCACACAATGGAATACTATGTCACATTAAAGAACAATGAGGGATACATGAATCATCTGGCAATGTGGATTAACCTGGAGGACATTATGCTGAGTGAAATAAGTCAATAGCAGAAGGACAAGTACTGTTTGAGCTCATTACTGTAAAAAGACAGAGAAGTGTTTGCTTGGGAAAAGGAACTCAACTAGTAGGTTACTGGGATGGGGCAGGAAAGGGAGGGATTAATTTAGGGCTAGTTGGGGCTTACACCCTGACATAGATAGAGGGAGGGATATACAGGAAGGTTATATGACCACCATGATAACACTGGGAAATGAGAGGACACTGAACTGTGTACATAAGAGATAGACGACAGATGCTAAAAGCAACCAATGTGTCCACAATACCCCATTGCTGTTAACACCAAACACTATGCTACACAGATAAACACACAAACACCTGAGATGATCAGACAGGGGTCAGTGAATAGAGGTATACTCTAGACCAAGAATAGACTCAGCTGAAGCTAATCTTGTACAGACACCAGTGATGCAAAATACCTGCAGTCCTTACAGAAACAATAGAAGACAGACACAGAGTAATTCCTCACAGCAATCCCAACACTATGGGAGAGAGATCTAATAGAGCTACTACCTCAAGACTATAGTACTGGGGTACACCAGACTCAATTGGCACAATAAAATACATAAAAGCATTGCTCCACATCCTACATTGGTGAGTAGTGACGG